GCGTATGAAAAAATAGTTTGTGAAAGAAGGTAGCTTAACAGCTGAGAAAAGTGTATTTTGGCAGAACAATGTTCACACGTTTATTTCTCGTTATTTTAATGAAGAGGATATAGAATGACTTGAATTCAAACAATGATTGTTGTTTAAGAGTAATGAACGTAGTGCGAAAAAATCTTGTATGCTGATTTTTTTGTTTTTTTTTCAGGAAAAAGTCTTAAAATATTGATGCACTTAAATATAATTCACTTTTTTAGTTCGATTGAAATTCATCTGCTGAAAGTGACATAAATAGCACTCTCCAAATACAAACGTGGAAAACGGCGCGAAAAAAAAACATGAACGATTTCTAGTTTCGAAAGTGGAATTTAATTTTTAGATTTCCAGAGGTATATATTTTTATCTATTGATCCAGTTTTCTCTAGTTGGGTCAATGTTATCATGAAAGCGCCAATCATAAATTGTTCTAGAATTCTAAGAGCTTAAAAGGTATCCATTTTTTTCTTCTTTGAAAGTCGAAAGTCAGCGTGTTTTTTATGTTTACGTGCGTTAATTAGTCTTTTCCAATCTTCGATTGGCTATGTTTTCTTTTTACGATCTGTCACATAGTTACAGTTTGTCATTGTTGTATTTACACTAGCCAGTAGCTAGTGTATTAGTACGAACTTTCTTTTTTTCTAACCTAACTCGCAAATAAAATTGTTTATTGAAAGTACTTTATTTGTGGCTAGTGTTTGTGATGTATTAATTGTGAAGGGCTAGTGCAGAAGTCTCATAATCTCTAGGTCGCAGATCGAATCGAATATGTAGCCGAGTTTTTAATACTTTGAAAATTATTTCTTATTGCACTTTATGAGCTGCTTTTTCTCGTGATCTCGCTAGGTTTTGCGAAGCTTTGCTTCTGTGTCTTATGGAAAAATTTACTGTTTGGCTTGTTGAAATGTAGTAGTTGAACCGTCTTTCTACTTTTCTTGTATCTGGTCGAAGTTATCTTTGCTTACACACTTTTCATTTTTTCGTCAAAACAAATATGACCGCATTTTGTCATGCCGATATTGATGAAAGAGCATATTCTCAGATTTGGAAATCTCGTATTTTCGCCAAACACTTCTAATTTATGCAGTAAGTTTAAAATTGGAACCTGTTTTTTGGTCTATTGATAATTATTTGCTAATTTTTAATTCAAACTAAATTGGCATTTTTAAATCGAAGTTCAATTGTTAAGTTACTATCATTTTGCAACCAGTTGGTATTCTTGCTGTAAATCTCTGACTAAAGTTGCCATTGTGAAACAAATTTTGAGAAACCATTCTAAATGTCTATGAACAAGGTGATACAACTTTTAACTCGAATGGTTTTTTCAGCAAGTGGTTTACTTTAAAAAAGTAAAGTTATGCCGTCCAAATGCGAAGTGTACATAGGAAAGAAAACGATCGAATTTAAGTTTTGAAGATGATTGTTGCATTTTAAATTTGCCAGCGGAATAAAAATCTTCGATCCTGGAAAATTTCGAGGAACTTGTTATTTGGGTATATTTTTTTTGTTTATCACGTAACAAATACTCACCGGAATTAGCCGCGTGATAAAAATTTTACAAGACTTTACAAACGTGATCCGAACGACGTTTAAAAGTTTCCATAAACTTGAGTCAGTGTCGAGAAAAAGGGTGTAAAATTTTTGGATTTTTAGGATAATATTGAGCGAAAAAGAGAGAGCCAGCAGGTTTATGATAACCTTTTAATAGTAGAATTAGAATTTAAAAAATATCATTCAAGAAATAAAACATTTAGTTGCTTTTCAGGAAATTTCTTTTTGGAAGCCTCTTTTAGCGCTTTCTTGGCAATAAAAAGTTGCCACCGTTAGTTTATTAGTACGTACCTTCTTTTTTTCTAAGCTAACTCGCAAATAAAAATGTTTTTTCTACGTGTTCACTTATTTGGTGGAACGTTTTGCTATAATCACGGTCTGCAGCATTGGAAATTTCGTAGCATATGTGTTCTGCTTTGTTTGTGGCTAGTTTTTGTGTTTATTAAGCGTCCGTGGCTGAGTGGGTAGTGTGTGAGACTCATGATCTCTTGCAGAATGAATTCAAGACGTAGCCGAATTTGCACCAATTCGAGGCTTATTTTTTATTGCACTTTATACAGCTGTTTGATGTGTTCACGATAGTTTTTGCGGAGCGCAGCTTTGCCTCTGTGTTGAAATCTTGTGTTGATTTTGATTTTAATGTTCTGCTTTTAAACTCATTTGAGTTCTATGGTTGTATTTGAACATCTTTTTGTCGTGTTTGAATTACAGAATGTATAAAAGCTTAGTGTATACTGGTGGTTGTTTTTCGTTTTTTTTCGGTAATTATTACTAAGAGTCGATGAACGCTGTTCAGACTCTTATATAGGTCGCGATTATTTTTTTTCTCCATTTTTTGTTTCAGTAAATGTCTTAATGTTTGTTCTGGCTCAAATTTAATTTTTCGCTGTTTGACTTTTGATTTTTTTCAAGTTCAGTTCATTTCCTTGATTAAATTGAGGGCAAAGTCCACTATCAAATAGCAAAGTGTAAAAGGCTCGAAAAAACGTGATTGACTTCTAGTTTCGCAAGGGGAGTTTAATTTTCATTTTTTCCAGCTAAATAAAAAGTTTACTCATTAGATCCAGTTTTCTCAAAATGGGTTAATTTTATCAAAGAATTATCAAATCATAAATTGTTCTAGAAATTCAAAGAACTTTTAGGGCACCTAATTTCCAAAATTTCAAAAAAAATACAAGTACTGTATTTTTTTTTGATTTTGTTCTTTCCGTCTCATTTTCTATTCACTGGCTTGCAATGCTGCGCTTGCGTTGTATTGCAAGTGATGTCAAGCTCCGCTTCGCCTCTGAGTTATTGTTGTGTACTTTAGTTTTTCGTATCTCGGTTCTGATTGCTTAATATAGAGTTTTTATAGTTGACGACCTGTCTCTTTATTGCAATATAACCATGACGTTGATGTAATAGTATAGAGCGGATATCGGAATTGATTGCACGTTTGAATCTTTACCTGTCGGTTGCTTAGCTATGATGTATTGAGCGTTTTTTAATTTCCAGGTTAAGGACAAATTTTGGTACCGTAGCTCGATTTGCTTCGCTTTCTGGCAAAACGTAGTTGCATTTCAATTGCAGTGTAATTACAACAGTAGAGAGCAGCTAATTTATAATAAGAGATCTACGGAGCACCCTATACATGATTTAATCACCTTCGCTTTCATCGGTAAATGCACTTTGTTACCGATAGTGTCGATGAGAACACGAATTAAATAAATAAATACATATTAATTTCCTGTGTATAAAATGGAAAATTTGCAAGAACCGAACCCGGTCCGCCGGTCCACTTTCAAAGGTGTGATTTTAGTGTAAAGACGTAGAATACGCCAGTGGGTACAAGAAGGAGGAGCTGACAGATATCATGCGTCTGCTAAATGACAACACTAGGGTGCTAGTGAACCTGTTCAAAAACCAGAAGCGTCGCTTCAACATTGTCCGCAAGTACACATCACCGTTAGTACTCTTTCTCCTGGTACGAATATATTGGTTGACTTGATTATGAAACTTATTTTTTAAACCACTCTGCGAATATAATTTAGCAAGATAGTTGAAGTAACATTTGCGAGAAAAACTTAGCAAATAGTAAAGTCATCTAAACAAAGATGCCATAAGAACTATACAATTTTAATGAGCGAAATGATTTTGTGCTCACTCAGGTTTTTGCAGAAAAAAAGTTCGCTTGATCAGGCTCAGATTTTCATTTTAGCGTTTTGACTCATTTCAGCTATATTTCGGGGCATCAGGGGGATATATATATATATCAGAAAACTTAAATTTTTTTTCTTCAAATTTTGAAGTTCCTAACCCCCTGTGGATGGGGCTGTCAGAGTACTCTCAGGGATTGCGAGAGATCTTGCCTCCAATTTTGGCTGCTCAAACCGTTTGGTTGTTTCCGAGATATGACTTTTTCTGGTTTTTCAAAAAAGTTTTTTTTTTAGAAAACCTAATTTCAAGTTTCTCAAAATATGAAACTCCCAACGCTGTAGTTGGGTACTGTAAGAGCTCTCTCAGGAGTTGTAAATCTTGCGTCCAAATGCGACTTCCCAATTAGTTTTAGATTCCGAGATGTGATGTGACAAAGATTTTAAAGTTTTTCAAAGAACTTAGATATAACAAATCTTGATGGTTTTTAAAAATTTGAATTGGAAAAACTTGAATAGAATTTTTATTCAAAATTTTAAATTATCAACCCCGTAACTCGGTGCTGTCAGAGTACACTCAAAGGATTCTGATTTTTTTCCAATACTTACGGTTTTTTTATGAGTTGTTAAAAATTCGAAGCACCGGTGGTGCGTTACACGCTAGTATGTGTTAAATTTTTTCCTCCCTTCTTCTTACACTTATTAAGAGCATTTTTTGGCTGTTATCTTGCTTGTTATTAAGAGTAATGAACGTAGTGAGTACGTAAGAGTATAGGTCGTGCTGATTTTTTTTTTCAGGAAAAAATATTAAAATTTGTTCACGCTCGACTTTAATTTTTTCGCGGTTTGGCTTGTGATTTTTTTTTAATTCAGTGCATTTGAATTGTTAAAACTCCACTATCGTACAGCGAAAGTGTAAAGGTCACGAAAAACGTGATCGGCATCTAGTTTCGAAAGTGGAATTTAATTATCAGATTTCCCAGCGAAGTTAAATCTTTACCTATTGATCCAGTTTTCTCAAATCGGTTAATTGCATGAAAAAGTTGTCAATTATAAGTTTTTCTAGAAATTCAAAGAGGTTTAAGGCCATTTGTTTTTTTTTTTCACTCATCAAAAAATGAGATTTTCTTCAAAAAAACAAGTCAGTTCTTTCTTGTTTTTTTTTGCCTTCATTTCTCTTTTCCAACTGTCAGTTGGCTATGTTCATTATAATTGCAAGTCTTGTTCATTGTGTTTCTAGGGTACTTGAAACTTTTTTACAAACTCAATTTTTGTTCGTTGTAGATTATTCAAAAACGTGGCTTCAAACCCTCTAGTGGACAATAAACTCATTATCGAGGCCACTTGCGCCTCCAAGGGGAACTCGTGATGTGCCTCCTACCAACAGAATCGCCTTTAGCAACCCTTTAGGGAAATTGCATCTTTTTCATGTGCATCAATCTTCAAACTTATCTCTCTGAATGATCTTTGAGTTACTTGATATGAATTGTAAAAGTGCACTCATTTAAGTTTTAACGTGTAATGACTATTTTATTGTGATGTGCCTTCAAAGAAACAACGTCTAATGACTATTTTATTGTGATGTGCCTTCAAAGAAACATGTTTCATCTTTTTTTCGCACAACGTGATGAAAACTTGTGTAGTTTGTTGTTGTTGCTTGTTTTAAACCCCATATTTGTGAAGCAATGTAAAAGTAGTTTGCTACTCTAATGATTATCAGAATTTGTGCTGTGTTTTGCCTTTTCAGGCCGTTTTAGAATGCAATCAGTTTTATCATTCCCTTTTTACATTGGGCCCGAAATAACTTAGTGACAATGAACGAAGTCAGTTTTAGTTTATTAATATATACCGATTTTTAAGCTTTCAATGGCCTTTTATGGTTAGTATCAGTGGCGGATTTAGAAGAGCGGCGGATGCCCCCCCCCCCCACCCTCAGGGATTCGACCCCCTCACCAACCAAAGGGTCACCCCTTTGGGTTATTTTATGACATCCATTTTAGGCCGACCAACTCTAAATTTTTTCCAAGGGCGCCAATCAATATAAACTAATTTTGAAGAGGAGCGCGCGCGGTATTTTGGATGTTTTTTCAAAATTTCGCCTGTGGTGCAAAAATTTTTGTCAAAATAGGCTCTTTAAAGTGTTCCAGGAGCGTTCGGAAAATCAATTTGGTCGACCTAAAAAAAATTTCGACAAACTTTTTGAAAATCCACCCCTGGTTATTATGGTCTATGGCATAATTTTTTCTAAGTAGATTAATTTAAGCTCAATGACATCTTGGTCACGCTTAATAAAGAACGTGAATATTAAAAGTATACATCTGATGAATTCTATAGGATAAAATTATTTTCTGAATTCATTAGCACTCAGCGAACAGCCGTTAGTCATGTTCGCTGTTCAGTGCTATTTCAAGAATAATTGCCAAATAGTCCACGCAACTTGAATCTAACTATTAAGAATTAAACTAATTTCTTTTTAAGAGCGAGTTTTAGCCCTTTCAATGTTTTACTTTACAGGTGCTTTATATGATATTAAATATAAATATTTTGCGACAGTTTGTTCAAATTAACAAACCGACATCTTGTCTAGAAACATTGCTTAAAAGTAATAATTTTACCCAAGTGATGCTACTGGAAATGATTTATCCGTTTACTTTGTCTAGTATTTGTTCGTGGAATTAATTAGTAAGTTTTAATTTGATTGGTTTAATTGAGTATTCTACCAAGTTGATCCATTTCTTCCTCAGGCTATCACAATCTTCATGCTCAACGCCGAAAGCTCTTTTTTTCTGATATTAACAGACGGTAGTTTATGCTTATTTGTTCTTTCTGAAGGAGCTTTTACTATCAGGGTAGGTTTTAAGTTAGATTTGACTAGTTTTGATGCTTGGGCAGGGGGCGTATCTAGGATTATTGCGTTTTTTTTTGCCCTGATAGTGGGATTTCCTTGTGATATGGATCCTTGGTTATCGGTTCATTTGGATGTTATCGACAGGTTAAATATCGAACTTTACAGCGAATTTTTTTGTCCAGCGAAAAAGTATATATTTACTTTTGAAAGAATACATGTTTTATAATTGGGAAATATAATCTTACAAGACAGATGAGAGGAAAAAATGGGTATAAATTAAGAATTATTTACTAGCAACGCTTCTGTGATCAGACCAGTTCCTTTTCACTAAGCAATGTCTCGAGTTTCCGTTTGCAATTGTTTTGCTGATTTTTTTCAAGCCACATTCAAGTAGCTGTAGCTATCGGCGTTTTATTAAATTACGTCAATTTTTGCCTGTTTATTACGATACGAGAATATATCGTTTGTTTTCGTGCGAGAAAGTACTTACGTAGACTATTTCTATGGGGGCTATTCTCATGCGCGAAGGACCGAATGCGCGAAAAAACTCGTGTGCGAAAGACCGAAAACAAGTTTAGCCGAAAGTCAATTTTAAAAAAAAAGCAACTGCCATATTCAATTAAAATGAATTAAATGAAGCAATTTTTTGCGTCTTTCATTAAAAAACCCCATTACATATAAAATTTGTCCCAATTTTGCGGCGGTCAATGACAATTTGAAAATTTTAGCTTATTTCTGCCTTTTTTATAATCGGCCAATATCAATACTCAAGTCACTGGAAATGTTTACTCTCTTTCCAAATTTTAGAACACTGAAATCTGATTGGCTGATTTTTATTTTCGCGCATTCGGTCCTTCGCACATGAGGGATTCCACCTATTTATATTTCTCTGTTAATCAACTTTGAGCCTAGCTTATAAAAAATACCGGAGGCGGAGCAATAAGCTGAATGGCCCAAGTGCAGAATGGGTCCAAGAGCAGAAAAACAGTACAATATTGACTTATATTGGTTTAAACGGGCTAATTGATAAAACAATTATCAGAATCGTGAAAAAAATACCAAGAAAACGAATAAATTAAGCATGAATTGACTAATTTCATTAAGTTTTTTGTTGAAATTTTTTAAATCTTTGATTAAATTGCTCAAATTATGCATAAAATGTTCGTTGCTTTGCTATTATTGACATTTCTGATAATTATTTTACCGATTAGCTTAAAGAAGTTGACATTTTTCTATTTGTCTGCTCTTGGACCCATTCTGCTCTTAGACCATTCTGCTTATTGACTGGCCACCAAAACATCAATTACTCCGCGGATTCATACTCGCCAGTAAGTAGACAGTTGCTTTATTAACCAATCAGAATCGAGATGAGAAAGCAAACGTACGAACCAAATATATAATAACTCGCGGGCCCACTGAAGCTAAAGCTGCTACTCAAAATAATAATAATTGTTGTTAAACTCTTTCATGTGTCGATTCTGATGGCTTAATGTAATATTTGTCTGCTAACTGACGAGAGAAAAGACGTGCTTCTCGACTTACTGCTATGTAACGTTTCCAGCAGCTATCCGAAAGGTAGACTCTTATAGAAATACTTATGATTTTTTGCTTTATTTTCAGGAAAGTCATGAAATTGTCACGCTCAAATTTGAATTTTGATTTCTGTTTAACTTCAGTTCATTTTGTTTGTACAAAATAAGGCAAACAAGAATTCTAAAGGTCATGAAAAATGTGATTGACTTCTAGTTTCGAAAGTGGATTTTCCTTTCCAGATGTTCCGGCCTCATAACATACTTATTTATTGAGCAAGATTTCTCAATTGGGCTACTTTTAGCAAAGTGTCAATCATAAATTGTTTTTGAATTTCAAAGTGCTTGAATTCCTATTGTTTTTCTTTGAAATTCGAAAAGATCTGTGTTAAGATTTATCATTTTTTCAGGAATATTATTTTTCTTATCCATTCGTGTCGGTTGAGTTTTTTTTCGTTTTTTTTTCAAAATAGCAATTGAAACCATTTAAATGATTTTTAAGTGCCTTTTGCTTTACAAAAATTTTAAAAAAAATTTTTTGTTCAGTTTTTTTTCGATCGTTTCAATTTTAATTCTGTCGGTTTATTAACCTAATTTTTTTCTATCAATTTCCACTCAAAATAATTAGAAAGTTTTTAATCAAACTCACCGACCATCTTTGAACAAACTGGAAAAAATAAATAAAACTTTTTTTACATATTTTAAGTTGATGAAATTTGTTTCACCCGTTAGTACCTTCAGCAACATTGTAAGTTGGCTTTGTACCCTCGGGTCTGGGGTTCGAGTGGTGGCCGGATCTTGTTTTTTTTTTCAGTCTCAAGGAAATTGAAAAAAAAAAATTCCGAGAAAATTGAATAGTCAGTTTTTTATTTGTACGCTCAGGTTTTGGCGGATAAATTGCCACTACGGATTTTGCTCGTACTGTAGACAATTTTTCTTGTAGTCGCAAGTGCAAATGTTCATTGTAATTTCAAGAGGGACCTGCAAGATTTAAAAAAATCTTTGATTTTTTTTCGTTTCAGTTGCTGTCTGCTCAAAGATAGTTGGCTTACTTGCCATATCACTGATTTTTTTTTGCTGTAAGTTATTTTCATTGTAGTTGCAAGTACAAGTGCTGATCATTCTAGTTTCAAGGGGGACTGGAAAGATTTTATAATTTTTCGGTTCAAGTGGTTTCAGATCAAAGATTGTTGACGCATCACTGATTTTTCTTGGGCTGTAAACAACTTTTATTGTAGTTGCAAGTGCAATTATTGTCCATTGTTGTTTAAGGTGGGACTTTAAACATTTTTTTATAGAGTCATATTTTTTTCGGCTCAACTTGTGTCTGCTCAAAGATGGTCGGCTCTGTTTCTTTTCGATAATTTTGTTCCGTTGTTGCTGATTTAAAATTCAAGTGCTTAGCATGTTTGCCTTGATTGAACTCATATCGAGACAAATGAAAGTTTACGTGACCTAATTTTTTTTCAAAAATTTTCATTTTCGGCTTTTTATGTTTTTATTTCATGTTAGTGTTGTATCGCAAGTGGTGCGAAGCTCCGCTTAGCCTCTGCGTTTAAAATTGAATTATTTACATCATTGCCGGCACACTTGGGCTAGAGGAAACGCCTACGCCTGGCACGGCTAGGGGCCTAGATGCGGATGCGGTCAAGATCCAATTTTTTTAAACAGAATTTTCATTTTCAAAAAATTGTCGGTCTATCGTTTTACTTATGTTTCATTGGCTTAGTTGCGTCATCACCGACCTTTAGCGTGCTGCAGGCCGTTGCTCATTGCACATGAAAGCTGTTTTACAGACCAAAGTTATTCATGACAGCATTTTGTTTTGTTTTAGACTCTACGGACGTTAAAGTGTTGTCGGCTCAGCTGGGTTTATGTATCTAAATACTTCTTTCATGTCGATAATTGTGTGGCTTGACGTAATTGAACATCAGTCGAGACAAATTTTGGAAGACATTTTTTCTAATTGTGCTTTTTAAATTTTTTTATTTTCGAATTGGCGGCTTTTTCATTCTCTTCCTACAGGATTGCAATATTATTGGTTTGGTTAAAAATAACGATCAATTAAGACTCAAATAAGTAGTTGATAGCTTTCGACATTATTCTTGAATGAAATAGCAACCGATTGATTTGCGATATTCATCGTTGTTTTCTGATTTTAAATGGGACATTTAGGTTTCATGAATGTGTGTAATTAAAAAATTAAAGAATAAAAATTAAAGATAGTTTTCAAAAATATACTCGATTGAAAACATTCAATTTAAGTTCTCTCCAGTTTTCGGTGTTGTTTTTCTGAATCGATATGGGCCAATTAGGTTTCATGAATACGTGTAATTAAAGAATTCAAAATATGTTGATAGTTATAAAAATTTTACTTGAATGGAAAAACTCAATTGATGTTATTTAGAGTAATGAACGCAAGGCTTGTATAGGTCTTGGTGATTTTTTTTCACGAAAAAGTCCAAAATGCTCTAATAACTATGCATACAGATGTGCATTCATACATTTTAAAGCATTTATGAATGCACCTAGGTATATATGCACTTTTTGAGTTCAATTGAAATTCATCTGCTGAAAGTTACGTAAATAGCATTCTCCAAATACGAATGTGGAAATGGCTCAAAAAAACGTGAGCAATTTCTAGTTTCGAAAGTGGATTTTAATTTTTAGATTTCCAGAGGTATATAATTTTATCTATTGATCCGGTTTTCTCAAGCTGGGTTAATGTTACCAAAAAAGCGCCATCAATTTTTTTCTTTTAAGTTCGAAAGTGTTTTTTTTTCTGTTTACATTCATATGCAATTTTCGGTGTTTGTTTTCTAAATCTACATGGGCCAGTTAGGTTTCATGAATACTGAAAGAAGTTTTCATGTGTTGAAATCTCTTGAAATAGATAAGTCTGAGATTTTTTTTATATTCGACTTTTTTTACTTTTTGGTCTAGTTGCGTACATGTTCTTTTGATATCACTTTTGTTGCATAACTTCCAAAGCTTCCATACTGCGATGGTGAATATGTTAACAATTTTATTGATTTGTTCCGGTTTCCTTTGGAAAAAATAAATGTATTTTTGTTTGGCTTACTAGTTCTCGAAGGTTGGATTCCTGTTTCCTCCGGGTCGCTAAGTTTCGATAATCCGAGAAGCAACCAGGTAACTTGGGAGATGGCGAAGTGTCAAAACGTTTTCCGAAATTATTTTGGTTAAACTTAACGTTTGTTTTCAGTGCGTCTTTTTTGTATCGTGCTCGCTATTGATTTATGTTCCTTGCTTATTTGATTTTTGTTGCCATTAATTATACGTTTTGTTTTATTGACCGAGAGTTCTCTTTGTAAAGAGATTACTTCGCTGAGT